CAGATGTTGCCTTGGTTCATTTACTAATTTACTAAACACATGTTAATGAACTTATTTAGGGGAGAACCGCCTTAATTATTTAACTTGCACCACGAAAATCATTAGGCCTCGTGGTGAAGGGAAAGAAAAATACGTGCATTGGAAATGATTAATAATAGGGGAAAAGTTTGTCTATCTATTAATTTGTAACTTGGTAATATCTTTATTCTTCTACAAATTATAACTATTTTTATAGTCAATTGTTTAATGTTCGTAATAAAAATATTTGAGTCAAAAAAGTTTAAACTGTTCAAAAGTTCTTTCAACGTGGCATAACTCTTCACATTATGCATCATATCCGTGTAACTAAACTATTTATTTAGGAGCCTTTTGAAAAAAATCTGATGTATGTTCGTAGGAGGGCTAACATGGTGGGGGAGAGGGGCAATTTCTTCCTAGGCCACTAGCATGGGAGGGCTGACAAGTGTGTTGTGACCTGCAGCCACGCACCATTATTCTGAAAAGAAAATAATGAGATGTGTTTTGAGATGTCTGCTTGTATAGTTCAGCAGGAGTGTCTTCCATTGACTGCAAGGTGAGATGAAATTCATAACACAGTGGTTGTCATTGGTGGCAATGACGTCAGTGGCAGTGACATCCAACAAGGCTACTTACTAAAGCAAGAATCTGAAGTGAATTCAAAGAAATTCAAATTTAAGGCCTGAGTCACCAATCTGAACGTTAACTGACTTAATGTTTACAGTTTGGCTACTTTGATCTTTAAAGAGCACTATAGGGTCAGGAACACAAACCTGTATTCCTGACCCTATAGGGTTAAAACCACCATCTAGCCACCCTGTCCCCCTCATGCCTCCATAAACATAGTAAAATCTTACTTGTATTCAAGCCTGAAGCTGTAACTCTGCATGCTGTTTGCTTCAGAAAAACAAGCTGTCTGCTGACATCATCAGAAGTGGCCTGATCCAATCACAGTGCTTCTCAATAGGATTGTCTGAGACTGACAAGGAGGCAGATTAGGGGCAGAGCCAGCACAATTCAAACACAGCCCTGGCCAATCAGCATCTCCTCATAGAGATGAATTGAATCAATGAATCAATGAATCAATGAATCTCTATGAGGAAAGTTCAGTGTCTGCATGCAGAGAGAGGAGACACTGAATGTATGGATGGATTTTAGGCAGCCATGACCCAGGAAGGATCTCTAACAGCCATCTGAGGAGTGGCCGGTGAAGTTATCACTAGGCTTTTCTCTGAAAAGACAGTGTTTACAGCAAAAAGCCTGAAGGTAATGATTCTACTCACCAGAACAAATTCAATAAGCTTTAGTTGTTCTGGTGACTATAGTGTCCCTTTAAAATCAACATTGAGTTTCATATCTCACTTTAGTGAATAACCCTGATAATCTCTTGTCTCTTACATATAAATATCTCTGTAAATCTCTGTTTATGTTTCTCCATACAGCAGTGGCGGATCCAGGGGGGGCAACGGGGCAATTGCGCCCCCCCGAGAAATCCGCCGGTCTCCCTCTCCCTCCCCTGCCAGCACATGCAGGCGCTAGCCCTGCAATGTGCCTGCGGACCGGAGGAGAGATCACAGATCTCTCTCCCCGGTCCGCAGGCACCGTGCTGACAGCCGGCGGCGGAGAGAGGGAGTGAGAGAGAGGACCCGGGAGCTCAGACTGCAGCTCCTCCGGGTCCTCCTCTCGCGAGATTTGGAGTGTTGCCGCGGTTACCATGGCAACGCTCCAAATCTCGCGAGAGTGAACTCTAGCCCGGGAGTGTGGGCTAGAGTTCACTCTCCACACTAGACCACCAGGGAATCCCCCACCGGACCACCAGGGAAATGTCCCCCCTCCTCCCCAGTAAAGGTAAGAAGGGAGGGGGGGGGCATAGAATATTTATTTATTTTAATTAAATTAAAAAATATTATATTATATAAAAAAAAAGCAACCCTACCCTGATCACACACATACATTGCCCCCAATACTGCCCCCCTTTCACACAAACTGCCCCCATTCACACAAACTGCCCCCCCATTCACACACAAACTGC